TGCAACTGTGGTGTTGGAGCATAAGAGAAACGACGGGGCAGGCCCACTTTGATTCTCAAGCACATTCGAAAATGCTGGCTGCCCCCGCGGACAAGAAAGCAAAAACTGTGTGTGTGTGTGGGTGTGGGTGTGTGTGGGTGTGTGTGTGTGTGTTGTTGTGTGTGTGTGTTGTGTGGTGTGTGTGTTGGGGTGGTGTGTGTGTGTTGGGTGTGTGTGTGTGGTGGTGGGTTGTGTGTTGTGTGTGTGTGTGGGGTGTGTGTGTGTGTGTGTGGGTGTGTGTTTGTGTGGTGGTGTTGTGTGGTGTGTGTAAAATAGCCCAATTGCTTTTCAATAAATAAACATGGAATTTGTTTAATGAAATAGTAAAGGGGAACGTTAGTGGCAGGGTGGTGTGCGAGAGAGATATAATAAGACAGTCCCAATATTAAAAAAATTGTATTTCTTTTTCCCCGCATATTTCGCAACTCTCTGCATATTTCGCAACTTCCCCGCATAAAATCACATAAAAACCCCGCATGTTTAATCGCATAATCAAGGAATTTAGCCCGCATAATCAAGGATCTTTGCCCGCGTTTTTCTGGAGGGTCTAATTAGGACCCTAGCAAACATTTCTCCTACATTTTTGTTCAGGGGAAGGAGCCATCAATGTGGCTGTGGGACCAATTAGAGGACAAGAAGCCAGAGTGAATGGACCAATTGGAGGACCTGGCCAGATGAGAATGGATGTTGGATTTCCGGGTCAGCCTGGTACAGGTATGAGTTTACTAAATGTATTTTACATGTTGCCTTTATACCAATCAAAAAATGAAATACTGCACAGTCATTATTTTAGTTTTTTTTTTCTCCTTTATTCCACACACGTATGCATCTGTGAAAAAAACAAAAGCTGTAAAGACAAAGCCTAACTGAACGTGTGGCTTGGATGTTTTACTTTTCTTTAGTGTGTCATAGCAACTCATTAGTTAGTGACTGACTATAATTCTGTTATTTTGTTAATCAATGTTTACTGACATTGTATATATTAGTTATTTGCCTGTTTCTACAATATGATTCAATTTTCACATGTTTCCGGTAAGGAGGAGTGAGGATGGCTAATCCAGCGATGGTTCCTCCCGGGCCTGGAATGGCAGCTCAGGCTATGATGCCAGGCGGCAGTGGACAGATGCATCCTCGTGTTCCCAGACCATCTTCACAGACAGGTTCAGGTCTTTATTTCTTGTACGTTAAATGATAGGTGTTGTAGGTTTAAATGTCTTACAGCTTGGACAGTACAATAATGTAAATGTCAATCTTCCTATCCCACAGATGTTATGGATCCAATGATGCCAGGTATGTCCGTTCAGCAGCAGCAGCAGCAGCAACAGCAGCAGCAGCAGCAGCAGCAGCAGCAGCAGCAGCAGCAGCAGCAGCTTCAGCACCAACAGGCTGGCCCACATGTCTCAGGCCCCATGCCTCCTCAGGCTGTCCATCACATGCAGACTCTGCAAGGTGGCAGACTGCTTAATCCTGCTGCCCTGCAACAGCTTCAACAACAACAACAACAACATCACCAACAACAACAACAGCAACAGGCCCAGCAGCAAGCTCAACTGGCCCAGCTTGGACCTCGACCTCCATTCAACCCATCAGGCCAGATGGCTGTGCCTCCTGGCTGGAACCAGCTGCCCTCTGGGGTGCTGCAGTCACCAGCCGCCCAAGGAGGCCCTGCCTGGAGAAAGCCCCCACCACAAGCCCAAATGCTTCAACGTCCACCCTCCCTTGCTGCAGTTCAAACTCCCAGCCATCCCCCACCCCCTTACCCATTTGGCAGCCAGCAAGCTGGGCAGGTATTCAATGCCATGGGACAGGGACAATTACAGCAGCAACAACAACAACAGCCAGGAGTGGGTCAGTTTGCCACCCCCCAGCCTAAAGGCCCACTGGCTGGCCCTGGAGGTGTCGTAGGACAGCCCAGACCTCCTCCACCCCTTCCACCTACATCTGGACCGCAGGGCAACCTCACTGCCAAGTCCCCTGGGTCCTCCTCGTCTCCTTTTCAGCAGGGTTCACCTGGGACTCCTCCTATGATGGCTCAGAGACCTACAACTCCACAGGGTTTCCCTCAGGGCGTTGGATCGCCAGGAAGAGCAGCCCTCGGCCAACAGGGTAACATGCAACAAGGATTCATGGGAATGCCCCAGCACGGACAGCCTGGGGCTCAAGTTCACCCAGGTGGGCTACGTTTGTAACATTGTTTAGGTAGACTAAAATTAACATAAAAAAGTGCTTTTTTTTCCTCGTAAATGCTGTATTAAGTAATTAATGAATTACTAAGTACTCTGATATCGACAATACAAAAATTATTGAATACATTTTACAGGCATGCCGAAGCGTCCCATGGGCTTTCCAAACCCCAACTTTGTCCAAGGTCAGGTGAGTGCCAACACTCCAGGAACCCCTGGTGGAGGAGCCGGTCAGCAGCTTCAGAGCAGCCAAGCCATGACCCACTCAGGTAAGATATTTGCTGTTTACGCAATCGAAAGCATTTTTATAAAATATTTACAAAGGCTCTTTGACTGATTTAAAAACAACTGCTGGAAAAACCATTACAACATGAATACTGAAAAATATACACTACTGAATTGATGTGCATTTATGATATAGTTTAGGCATCAGCAAATACTAATTGTTTTCAACAGCAATAATTATTGTTTCTAAAAAGCATATATTAATACAAAAATAATAATGCTTTAATTTCACAATAAACATGTTAAGATTGAGTCGTAATTTAGACATTATTTATGTATTTAATATATATATAATTATTACTTATGCTGTTTCACTCAACTTGTCACAGGAACATTCATTCATTCAAGTTCAGCTATGTAGTCTGCTTTTTGTTCATATTTAGATGTGATGAACTGCTTTACTGTGTCAACAGTCTAATTTGAAATGCCATGGTTTAACAAGCAGTTAATAGAAGGCTGTTGTATTACTTGTTGTGAAAACCTTTTACCAAAAGTGATTATTTTTCCTCTTTGTTTAAATCAGGAGCTCCGCCAGCCTCCACACCAAACTCAATGCAGGGTCCACCCCATTCCCAGCCAAATGTTATGGGTATACAAAGTGGCATGGCGGGTCTTCCCCCTGGTACAACCGCTGGGCCTAGTATTGGCCAGCAACAGCAAGGCCTCCAGACCCAGATTATGGGCCTCCAGCATCAGGTCCAGCCCGTGTCTTCGTCCCCCAGCCAGAAGGTTCAAGGCCAGGGTGGTGGTCAGACTGTCCTCTCAAGGCCCCTCAGTCAAGGGCAGAGAGGAGGGATGACCCCACCCAAGCAAATGATGCTTCAGCAAGGCCAGGGGGTGATGCATGGGCAGGGTCAGATGGTTGGAGGCCAAGCGCACCAGGCCATGCTCCTGCAGCAGCAGCAGCAGCAGCAGCAACAACAGCAACAAAACTCCATGATGGAACAAATGGTTGCCAACCAGATGCAAGGTAATAAGCAGGCATTTGGAGGCAAGATTCCAGCTGGGGTCATGCCCGGCCAGATGATGCGTGGCCCTGCTCCAAACGTTCAAGGTAACATGGCTCAGTTTCAGGGCCAGGTTGGCCCTCAGCAGATGACTCCCCAACAGCAGCAGCAAATGGCTCAACTCCAACAGCAGCAGCAGCTACAGCAGCAGCAGCAGCAACAGCACCAGTTGCAACAGCTACAGCAGCAGCAGCAGCAGCAACAGCAACAGCAACACCAGCAGATGAATCAGCAACAACCACAGCAAGTTCCTATTGCTGGTAATCCTAATCAAGCTATGGGCATGCATGGTCAACAGATGAGGCTCCCCGCTGGCCATCCTCTTATCCAACAACAGTTGCAACAGCAGCAGTTACAGCAGCAACAGAAACAACAGCAACAGGTCATGTTGCAGCAGCAGCAGCAACAACAGGCAGCTCAACAACACCAGCATCCTTTAGGGGATCCTAACAGTGGCACAGGGGACTTGGGGGTCCAGCAGATGGTCCCTGATATACAGGCACAGCAGCAGCAAGGCATGATGGCTGGCGCACAGCACATGCAGATGGGAAATGGCCACTTTGCAGGTCATGGCATGAACTTTAACTCACAGTTCCCAGGTCAGATGCCAATGGGCGGAGCCTGTGCACAGCAAGGAGGCTTTCCTGTCAACAAGGACGTAACACTGACTAGTCCACTGCTGGTCAACCTGCTGCAGAGTGACATCTCAGCCAGCCAGTTTGGGCCAGGAGGAAAACAGGGAGCAGGTGGTGGCAACCAGGCCAAACCCAAAAAGAAGAAACCAGCACGAAAGAAAAAGCCCAAAGAGGGAGAAGGACAGCAGCAAGTAGAAGGACTTGGGTAACACATTTTATTTTTTATAGTTATTTCCTTCTATAGTGGACAGTTGAAGTAAGTGGAATCATTGTTACATGAATTAGTTGATAAAATTCACCTATTTACCTTTTTTAGTGGTCTTGATGGGACTGCTGGCATGGATGATCCCGAACTGCCAAATCTGGGTGGTGAACAGAATTTGGGTTTGGAAAACTCTGGCCAGAAACTCCCTGATTTTCCCAACAGGCCTGCAGGTCAATTCAATTCAAATAAATCATGTTGGCAATCATTTTTTATCTGCATTCAGTTAGTGATTTGTTTACTTTTTGCAAGTTTACAGTCTTTTCAAAATGTGTGTTTGATTTGTATATGTATGCCTTTCTACAGTTAACGTAGGTTTTCCCGGACAACCTGGAGACCAGAGAGTATTGCAGCAGGTACCGATGCAGTTTATGCAGCAGCAACAACAACAACAACAACAGCAACAACAACAACAACAAATGCAGCACATGCAACAGCAGCAGATACAGCAACAACAAATGCAGCAGCAGCAACAATTACAACAACAAATGCAACAGCAACAATTACAGCAACAGCAGCAGATGCAGCAACAGCAACAGATGCAACAGATGCAAATGCAGGGTCTCCCAAATGCTCAAGGACAGCAGGGGATGACGGGGCCGCAAACTTCTGGTCAAAGCCAGCCTCAAATGCACCCTCATCAGCTGCAGCAGCAGCATCAGCAACAACAACAACAACAGCAACAACAACAGCAGCAGCAGCAGCAACAACAGCAGCAGCAGCAGCAACAACAGCAGCAGCAGCAGCAGCAACAACAACAGCAGCAGCAGCAGCAGCAGCAACAACAACAGCAGCAGCAAACTCAACAGCCACACCTGCAACAACAGTATATTGAATATCATATACTTAAATGACTGTGTGTTCTATCAAAGCAATGGGTTAACTGTTTATTTATTTGTACTTTCAAATGCTTTCATTTTAGCAACAACAGCAGATGTTGATGATGCTGAAGATGCAGCAGGAGCAGGCAAAGAATCGTATGTCCATCCCTCCAGGGGGGCAGCTCCCTCCGAGGGGCATGGGCAATCCACCGGAGGTGCAGAGGCTTCCTGTCTCACAGCAAGGCAACATGCCTGTAATGATCAGTCCTTCAAGGACATGGAGGGGTACCCCCCGTCACCTGATAAAGCCAGAGGGATGCCCCTGATGGTGAACCCACAGGTGAGAGCCATGTTAACACAATATTGACAATCATATGGCATGATTTGGGTTCAACTTGTGAGTGTGCTGTTTATTTAATTTCTTTGGAGTAAGCTGTACATGTTTGTGTCTGTTCTCCTTTCCAGCTTGCAGGCGCTGCACGACGAAGAATGTCCCATCCTGATGCAGGACAGGGTCCTCAAGGCTCCGGTTCTGAAGAGCCCATTGCAGGGGCCACATTAAGCAGGACAGGCCTACTGGCCAAGAAATTGGGGTGCAGCCTGGAAATGGAAGCCAACAGATGATGGCCAATCAGGGCTCTAACACTCACATGATGAAGCAAGCCCTGGTCCATCAACAATGCCCCAGCACACTGTAGCCCAGGTCCCCAGCAACAGTTACCCGCCAGTCAGCCTCCAGCAAGCAGGTCCCATGCCTGGCCTTCATTTCCCAAATGTCCCCACAACTTCTCAGAGCTCTAGCCCAAAACCCCAAACAGAGCCAGCCCCAGGCCTACCCACCATCCTCTCACCCCAACAAATGCCACACACCCAGTACTGCGAGCCCTCCGAAATCAACCTTTCACCTGAGAGGCTAAATGCCTCTATTGCAGGGCTTTTCCCTCCCACAATCCAACATTCCTCTGCCTCCCAGGCAGGCCTAACCTTAACCGGGGGATTGATCAGCAAGGTCTTAACCCACAACTCTGAAAGCCATTGGGCAGGCCCCTCCTGGCTTAACTTTACAGGTAACAACAACAGATGGCCAGTATGGGTTGGAAATACAACAACAACAGTCAAACAGCCCTTCTCGACTGGCACTGGAATGGAGGTGCAGGCACTAACAGGACAAGCAGCCTGGAGGACAGGGCAAAAAGAGCAAGTCCTAGCAATAGTCGGAGGTCGAGTCCAGCCTCTGAGTCGTAAATCAGCCACCCCAAGTCCAGGGAGACACAAAAGGGGGGGGGGACAAAGATGGCCAATCACCTTGCCCTCCCCCCAGCCAAGCAGTTGCGGTCAACCCCTCAGGGGCAAACGATGATGCCTAAGCCCATCATCAGTACCCCCACAGTCCAGTATCTATGCATTCACTAAGTTAGTGGGTCCACGGAAGCACAAACAAACCCAGAGTCCTTTTCACGGGATGCAAGGTACCCTGCTGGAGGGAAGTCAGGGAAAGTCAGGCGGAATGGTGGGCAGCGGATCAGCGGCAATTGCCTCAGCCTCAACCCCCAGCCACAGCCTTTGAGGGAGTTATCACGACAGCTCCCAGAATGGCAAGGCCTCGTTCCCCCATGCCCAGCAGCTAGAAACCACTGACACTCGGAACATCAGGGGTGGCACAGTTGATAGGAACAAGAACACACACTGCACCCAATAATGCACGGACCATCCCAGGTCCGCTACCTCCAGGGCAGGGACCCACGGTCCCTCAACCAGTTACTTGATAACTCGGGATTCCAATCAATGCCTCGTTCGGCCATACAGAAGTACACTGTTAGGGATTTCTAATTGGAAAGGGACAGCCCTAAGTCTGCTTGGATCGCGACCTTTCCACAGTATACTCCCAGAGTACAGAAATGTCAGCCTGCTTGTTAGTACTCTCTGGCCACTAATAAAAGGGAATTGGCAGCTAAACCGAAAACTTACTGTCCTATTTCCTAACCAGCAGTCCTAATTTCAGCCTACCTCAATTCCCATCCCCACCCTAGGCACGCACACGTGAGCTCTAATATGTACCCCTAGCCTTCCGAAGTAAAAGCAACCCCTTCCTCTGCCTCCACCCCTTTTAGACTAACACTAATGCCACCCATGAGTTTAAGCCCCAACACCAGCCTCACTTCAGGCCAGAGCAGTCCGGCCTCGACAGGTTAGTACCAGTTCGAAACTCCAGCGTGGCTCAAAACCAGCGCCTGTCCCCAAACCAGGGACCAGGAGTGTTCAACTCGGTCATACAGACCCCAGCCTCTTCTAGCACAATGTCCCAACCAGATAACTGGTTTGTGACCTCTAACCCCCATGGACCTCTGCCCCGCACGACGCACAGGCAACCCCACAACTATGGTCTCCACCATGGTGGCTGTCCTATGACAAGAACATTAGACCTCAGGACATCCGGCAGCAGGCCCCGGCCCCGACCGACAGTTATCACCACCACCCCGGTATTATCAACCCAATTTCCAGGTCCCAGGTGGATCTGTGGCCCTAATACAACAATGGACCACAGCCGCTCACATGGGTGAGCTATCCAATTGCACTAAAACATCCAACTTTCAACTGCCCAACCTCTACCCAGTCTTCAGGCTAAACATGGCAGGCACTCAGTACCAGAAGTATTGTACGGCACAGGTACAGGGTGCCACTAGCTGTGTCCTCATCAGTCCCAGTTGGTACTCCCCCCAGGCTTCTCATTCAATTTAACCCAGGCGCCTCCAAAAACCAGAGAATCTAAGGACGGCCGGTTCCGACATAAACCTAGTCCCTCAGGGAAGCAGCCATCTCCCAATCCAAGCCCTGTTCAGAATCATCTACCTTTCAGCACCTGGCTCTGCCTCCTCTTTTGCTCTAGTCCTGGGGCTGCTAAACAACATGCCGAAAGGCCCATGTTGCACCGGTGTCGCCACGCCTGGGGAAAAGTAAACCTGCCACAGGTTGCCGCAGCTGTTCTGGTAACAGTTGACTCGCAGTAGTCCGCGTAGAAGGTCTGCAGAAGGGGCGCCTCCGGAGCTGTGCATACCACAGACCCGCTTCATGTCCTGCGATTCCTGCCAAACTAAAAATTTGAAGCACCGCAATCGCGCCCAGAGTAGCGTCGCTGCTTCTAAACAACATGACACCGGCCTGCTATCCCCTCCCAATCCCAGTTTCCTGGAACATCTGTGGCTGTTCCCAGCTCAGAGTGTTACCCAGGCTCAGTGACAGCGACAAGCTCAGTTTCAAGGCCAGGCCCAGGAAGGCTTGCAATCTCAAGCTGCTAGCCGGGTAGTCAGTGCAACACAGGTACCTTGGCTGCTCTGCGGGTTGCCCCGCGTGCAAAGGCTGGTACCGTCCATTTGTCCAATTGTTGCGTGGATTCTGTACCGCAATGGAGGTTGGCCCCACCACATCCCTTCAGTTGGCGAACCCCTAAGCGGACTTCCACAAGTGAAAGCCTGAAATGGCAGCTGTGGAGCCCCCCCATGCTCAGCCTGCTGCTGAATTGTTGAAACCACTCAGACAACCACGAGTAAGTGTGCACAAGCAAAACTTTATCGTTATAGTTTGAAAATGACACTTGCGACTGAGCAAAGTCATCACGGCCAGAAGAGGCATGTTCCTGTTGTGAATTTACCCGGGTGCTGAGGGACCAATCAGCAGCAAAGGTGGCATGGGGGCTCCCACAGCTTGCATCAGGCTCACTTGTGGAAGTCCGCTGGGGTTTAGCACTGAAGGGATGGGTGGGGCAACTCCCATAGCAGGTACAGATCCGCAACAATTGAACAATGGACCGGTACAGGACTTTGCACGGGGGCAACCGCAAGAGGAGCAAGGTACCTGTGTAGCACTGAACCGTGACAATAGCAGGCCGGAGAGCAACCTCCTGGGCCTTGCTGAAAACTGAAAGCTGTGGCAGTCACGGAGCGGAACAACGAGTGGGAAACCGCCGACAGTGTGGCAGGAACTGGGTTGGAGAGGAGATACAGGCGGTGTCATGTGTTAGAAAGCAGCGACAGTGACTATGGGGATTTGTGCTTCAATTGAGTGGCAGGAATAGCAGGCAACAAAGGGTCTGTGGGTTGCACCAGCTCGAAGGGCCCCCTTTGCAGACTTTCTACGGGACGTAGCTGAGAGTCAACTGTACCAGAAACGCTGCAGCACCTGTGCTCAGGTTTGACTTTTCCCAAGGCAAGTGGGACACGTGGACATGGGGCTCTTCGGATGTGTTAGCAGCCCCAAGGACAGAGGCAAGAGGAGGAGAAGCCAGGGGTTCCTGAAGGTTAGAGAGCGAAGGGCTGAGGGAGATGGCTGTTCACTGAGGGACCTAGGTTTTATGGAACGGAACGCCTCAACTTAGATTCCTCTGTTTGTGGAGGCCCTGGGTTTAATGTGATGAAGAAAGCTGGGGGAGTACAAACTGGGACGATGAAAGGACAACACAGTGGCAACCTGTACCGTGTCCTACAAAACTCTGGAGGCGAGTCGCCCATGTTAGCCCCTGAAGACTGGGTAGAGGTTGGAGCAGTTGAAAGTTGGATGTTCTGTAGGAACAATTGCGATGAGGCCTCACCATTGTGAACGCGCTGTGGTACCATGTTGATGAGGAGCCAAAAGATCACCTGGGACCTGGAAAATGGGTCTTGAGAAATACAGGGGTGTGGTGAAAACTGTGTCGCGGGACCGGGGCCTGCGCCGGAGTCCTGAGGCTAATGTTCTGTTAAGGGACAGCCACCAATGGTGGAGACCATGAGTTGTGGGTGCCTGGGGAGTGGGGCAGAAGGTCATGGGGTAGAAGGTCAAAACACAGTACGGTTTGGGGACATTGTGGCAGAAGCAAGCTGGGAACTGTAAACCGATTGACCTTGTCCCGTTGGGAACTAGGGCTGGTTTTTGAAGCATGTCTGGAGTAGAACTGGACACCGTCGAGGCAGGACTGCCGGGCCTGAAGTGACTGTGGTGGGGCTAAAACTCATGGTGGCATTAGTGGTTAGTACAAGGGGTGGGGCAAAGGAAGGGTGGCTTTACATCGGAAAGGCTAGGGGTAAATTGGTCACGTAGTGGCAAGGGTCAGGGAGAGGGGATGAAAGAGGCGAAAAAAGGGACGGCGGTAGAAAAGGAACAGTAGGCTTTTTGGTTGTTAGCTGCCAGTCATTTATAAGGGCAGAAGTACTAACAGGCAGCTACATTCGGTACTCAGGGAGTTACTGTGGAAAGGCGCCGTGGATCCAAAGCAAGACTAGGGCTGTCCTGTCCCATTAAATCCCGAAAGTGTTACTCTGTAAGGGCCGAAGAGGCAATGAATGGACATACCCGAGTTATCAAGGTACTGGGTGAAGGGAACGGCCCTCGCGAGAGCAGGCGAGACCTGGGAGTCGCTGCATATTGGGTGGCTGTGTGTGCTTGTTGCCTACACTGGCCAACCCTGATGGTCGCGGGTCAGNTCCCCGCATTTTTCCACACAAAGTTGAGAAGAAAAAAAAGTTAACTCGTCTTGACGTGACGTCATCAGCTCGCGCATCACAGAATGTAAACAACACTGTATAGATACAGTGTTGTTTACATTCTGTGATGCGCGAGCTGATGACGTCACGTCAAGACGAGTTAACTTTTTTTTCTTCTCAACTTTGTGTGGAAAAATGCGGGGATTATGCGGCCTTTTGATAAATATGCGGCCTTTTAAAAATCTGCGCCATTTAGCTGATTATGCGGTAAATTCTGCGATCGCAGAATCGCGTTTTTCTGGAGGGTCTACCTAATTTGTATGCTTTATTCAAAGGTGCCACATAGGTAATAAATGTTGTCTCTTGCATGCTGTTGGAGTGTGTAGGTTGCGTTGTTACCTTCTATCTGCACAGAGAGGATCCCCAGGTCTCTGAGCTGCTGCTGGTTGTTCTGGGCCAACAGTCGGAGTCGCTCAGCAGCATCCCGAGGAATGTTAAAGGTAACACGCACGCTGTTCCACGGCTCCACATGCTGTGGCTGTAGCCTATCAGAGCCTAAAAGAATGACAAAGAATAGAAGTTGCAATTGAAGTGCAAGTTGGAACAACAAATCTAAAACTATTGATTGGAAAAGGATAAGGAAAGGAAAAACAAAACTCTTGCTGCTATATTCCACAAAGAAATGTGGGCATGTTTCAAACGTACAAATTCTGCAGGTGTATCTAAACTAAGTACATATACAGCAAATACAAATACCACCCAATTATCTATAACATGGCTACATATTTACTTCAAGTGTTATCAGTCATTAATCAATGTCAAAACACCAAATTACATCGAAGAATATAAATCAACCGAGTAGAACATACTTTTAGGATCTTTCCAGAGTTGTAAATTATTTATTAAGTGTGTGGCAATTGCACACACTTGGCAATTTATTTCAATATTATATTTATAAATGTTAGGTTTAACAGTAAAAAACCCTGTGCTGTTTTTCCCCAATAACAATGATAGCTACAGAACTTACCCATATCAAGCATGTTGGGTATCCCATTGAGGATAGTGTCAAGTTTTCGAGCGAAGTCCTCGTCCTCCATATTCCCTTGAAAGGCTACAAAAACTGTAAAATCTCTTCTCTCTCCTCCGTTTTCTTCCAATCCATCTTGTATGTTGACGTTCTCCTCCTCCGTAAATGTGGCTTCATGGCTACTGTCAGCATCCTCCCCTGCATCCTCCCCAACGCCAGAGTCCCTGTCGGAGTCATTATCGGGTTCCAGGTACTCTGTCCTCTGAGACAGCGGAGGTGGGGTACGTCGATGCGCCATCCTCCCTTCTTACTAGGAGTGGCGTTTTGACCGTTTTAAGCTGAAATTGTACACAAGACAGAAACAGATCACTAGTCCATCCCATTCAAGAGTAATGTCACAGTCAAGAAACAACAGAGATGGCTATTCAAATTGGGAACAATCAGAATTGAATTAGTGGAAGATGCCTTATACAGTAGAACCAGAGGTGGAAGATGTACTCAAATCTTGTACCTACTGTAAACATAGGAATAACAGTAAAAGTACAAAAGTAGAAGTATCTATCATGCAAATTGGCCCATTTCAGAATAAAATTAATTGTGTTTTGAGTGTAATTATTGATGCATTAAAGTGTTATCAAAGCTTGCAACTGTAGCAGACTAAAAATACACTATTTACCTCTGAATTGTAGTGAGGTAGATGTACGAAAAACACACATCCATCAAAATTGTAATTAAGTACAGAACATGAGTAAATCTACTTAGTCACTTTACACCACCGAGTAGAACATATGCTGGATAAATAGGCAGTAGGATGTCAGGTATACGTTATACACTGCAAGCTTCAAAAGAGACAACATCACATAAATATTTGTTCGCATAATCGTGAAGTAAATAGATGACGTTATCGCAGTAATAACACACGTTAGTATTGACATAATTGTGACCGGTGATGCTAAACTTATAACAGTAGGCATGTCAACATCTTACAGAAGTGACTGTAGGTGGTTGAGAGGTATTAACTGCTGTGTGATTTGCATTAATGTTGAACAATGTTGAATTGTATAAATCAGATGCCATAACCGGTGAGCAGCTTCACGATCGGCCCAGCAGCAGTAGCACGGGCCTTGACGCAAACGTAAGCTAACGTAACGAAATATAAATCGGCAGAGAGAACACAAATATCCTGCATCCCATGCGAGTGTGCACACCCGTGCCAATATGAACACCGCGTACAATTCAAATGAATATGTTTCCTGCAGTCACTGCATTACGAATGAGGATAAACATTAAATGTCAAGGCGGTTCCTGCTGGTTTCTCCGAACGCTCCAGTTAGCAAACGTTAGCCAAGTTAGCCTTGTAGCACTGCAGTTAATTCATCATGAATGCATTGAAACAAAACCGATTGGCTTCCAAATTAGTTAGCTTTAACTTGTCGCATATCGTAAGCAGTACAATCCGCATGAGAAAAGCAAAAGCCTTACCACATATATTCATCTGACACTTAATTCGACCATTCGACATCTGCTAGCCAGATTAGCTAACAAAACATGAACCACAAGCAAGAAACAATGTCAAGCTAGAGACGAACATCGAACAGTACTATTTCCGGTATTACTTTCCAAAATAAAATCCCAGTTAAGGAAGAAGCAACGTCCCTTTCATGATAAAAAATGTATTAATATTAGGAATAACTGCCTTGTGTAAGCCTAAAGACTTGTCTACAGGTTACTATTGTATGGAGCTATGGATTATACTGAAAGAAACACTTACGTTTTATGGTTTCAATGCCTCTATATAAATGAAGGCAGTAGTATAGTTTTAATAGGTGTACACATGTATTGGTAATAACAGGTTTTAAACAGGCATTGGGACATTTGTAAAATACATCTGCTCAATTTTAAAATTCTAATCATTCTTTAAAAAAGAATAGTGTATTTAAAGAGCAAGCTCACATACTCTACAGTAGGTTAGATGATCAAAATATACACATATATACATGTATGAGGCAAAAAGGGAAACTATTCATCCACATTAAGAAGTGTGCAAACATTTTATTTTTTGGGTTGACAGTGCTGATTTTTATTAAAATCAGATAAAAATGCATATGGAATTAAACATCAGGTGTTGTGCAAATGCGTGCCTTGAGGCATGGTACTCTACAGTACAGGGGGGAAAGCATCAACAGTCATATTGCAGTAGTTCCAAACAACAGACAGAAAGGTTAAGGGCTCATTTGATCAGTCAGCATTTGCCATCCTGGAATTAAATTAAATTGAACCACTTTTAGAATGCAATGCTTTACAAAAGCTGTGGGTTCTTCCTTAAATATTCTACCAAAAATAATTACACAAGTACACAAAAGATAAACTTTACAGCCTTTTCTAAAATGAGCTGAAGTAATGCAAATTGCGTTACAACAGTAGAAATAATGTTTACAGCCCAAAAGATGTTCATATAAAAATAGACAGTTTACATTCATCCTTTTGTAAAGAATCAGATTATTCTTATTCTAAAAACAAGTATCCCTGGTCTAAATTTAAAATGAAAAATGTAAACAACAAGCTTAAAAGAGAGCAAAATCATGCCACAACTAAAATATCTTAAATAATATATTGAAATACACTTGCTCTATCATAAGTAATACTTTACACCTGCAAAACTGAAGAGGAAATTAATGGATCATTTTGAATGCCGTATAATTTGTTAATCATTTGTTAGTTTGTACACAGTCCCAAGAAGCCATTGATTGTTTGCAACGGTTAAAACTCCAGCAGCTATACCAAACAACATCTAATCACAGTTAAACACCATTTAAAGAAAATGATAGTGAATGGTTTAGCCTCTTTGTTTGATTTAAGATAGTATATTTTTAGGTGTGACAATACAAGGCTTAATTAGTGGTTTACATATTATAACCTTTAACATTCCATGTGAACCTATGTGTTCTTTCAAACTATGGTGAAATGTAGAATAATCGAAAAGCAGAAAGATATAGGGCCATGCACATAATACAATTAGTGGCTTAATGATGCAGCATCATTAGATTCATTCATCCTGTATTTGATAATAATCAATTTGTTCATTATTAATTTCCCTTACAATTCCTGAGGCGATATTCAGTGTGATAAACTTCCATTTAGTTTTTTCTCATGCCCACTAAGTAAATCCACTCTAAACCTATTGAGTGTATTGCTTTCTTCAAGTGGACCTTGAGTGCATCAAATTTACATTTTTGGACACACCCTGCTCTGCACAATACATGCTGCAGACTTGACTAATGCCATTAAGTGATGTCTTACATACATTTTGAACACTATCTACACTGCAACTGAACGTAACTATAGGCTGTCAAGGAAGTAATACAGACACCAGCATGAGAGATGTTGATCCTCTGTAGTTTTCTGTGTGTAAGCTGATCAAAACACTAGGCTCCATATAATCTTGTCACAGTTTCTTTCTGTCAAACAACCTTTCTTCAACATTAACCTACATTTAGTGTTTTAAGTGATGAGCAGCTTCCTTACTCCCTCACTAACGATCATACAGTGTTACTCTACCCTTTCTTAATTATGTGTGAGTATTGGGAAAGGGGGTGGACTAGGGCACGGACATAGTGAGGGCAGAGGCATCAGCACTACGTGGGTCTTTCACCCCTATGATGAGGTCATTGGTTCTCCGGGTTCCCTCAACCAGTGAGAGAACATCTCTCCTCTCCACCTTGTGACCTTTGGCTTGCAGCAGCTCCACGTCTTCGTCTAGAAACTCAGCTGTAGGAGACAAAGGGAGAGGATGATCTGAGGTCAGTCAGTTAGCCAAATAATTATATAACAAACTGAATTATCTCTTATTTACACCTGGTACTTAAATGTAATTTCCTCTGATAGAGGAGAATAACACTCGGAGTGAGTTAACACAGCACATTTTTCCCGTGATCTTCAGCCATGTAGGTCATAAGATATCATGTTTAAAAGCACACACAAACAGTTTGTAGCGGGCAGACCAAGTAAAATCCTTAGATTATATTTAGATCTCAGCCAAAACAGTATTTTCTGCACTCTTGATAATGAAACAGACATTTCATGTCATTATTGGAACCAGAAATGTGATGTTTGCAGTATGAGGTTCACAGTATTTGATAACACATTACCATGATGTTTTCTAAAATCAACAATAAGATTATTCTTTCCACAGCACAGAAACTCAAGCAGGCGTTTTATGTGTCATGGAAACCCTGCACCTGCCACCTTTGTTTATGACAACAATAAAGGTACTTGCTTCCTTCCCAGCTACTTGCCTCTTTGCATAGTGTACACATACAGGTGACCTAAGTGCAATGTAAATACTGGTGCAAGGGCACTATTGGATTGTTTTTTATCTGGAGAGCATATTGCATGTTATAGCAGGAAATTACTGCTGTCATAAAAAAAGAAATGGGCCAAAAAGCTAGCAGTAACGCTGCAATCATAGTGTTTGAAGAGATTCAGTTATGTTTGGATTGTATAGATGGATAAGAAGGATTAACTCACAGTCTACCAGCAGGGTGTTGGGCTGCAGATGTGGGTGGAGCCTTCCATATGCTAAGCTGTCACTCATATTTTTACGGGAGGACAGCACATTCATCAGCACCTGTGAAAGATCATTAAAGAGATTAAGATACAAATGAGTTAAATGGAAATCTATATGTAATATTAATGAAAGAAAATTAATTAATCTTTCCAGTAATGTAACAACCTGTGTGATGCCACTGAGAGCTTTCTCCCCATTGGAAGATCCAACGGCTACATATGTGCCACATAACCCCACGGCAGGCCTAACTGCTGTGGGCATCAGGAAAGACATGGGCCTCTTTCCAGGCTGGAGGATGTTATGCTACAGCAAAGGAACACAAATCATGAGGACTTAGAGCAGCTACAAGAAAACGTTCAATAAGAAATGTATCAATACTTCAATCAATGTAAGAAAAGAGAATGCACAATTACCGGGTTAAGTGATGAGCCCTGTGTTTTATTAGGCCAGGAGAAGTCCAGTATCTGGCTATTTAGGAGGATTCCTGAAGGAGTCACTATCCCGCTGCCAAATGGTTTGTTTAGAGAGCTAAAACAGTCACACAAAAAAGTGGTCTTAGTTTAATATTTTGAGTGAAATCAATCCACTCCTAACGGTCACTGCAATTTACTTTACCAATGTGCAATATCAGTTCAGTTCTAGCATGATGTACCTCATGACTGACACAATGTGGTCGTCTGGGCCCATGACCATGACCTGGGCAGCTGCTGCACTGTTCTCCATGGTAAATGATGGAGTGTAATGGCCGACAGGGAAGGCCTGAGAGTCGTTGATCATCTGGCGGAGTATGGAGGCCTGTGATTTACTTTGAGATGGGAACAACAAATGGTAGGGTTACATGAACATGCCTTGTTGAATTGTATACATTATATGTTTAAAGATGGTATAGGGATCTCTACCTCAGCATCTTGGTGACAATCTCTGAGACAGAAGTGTCATACATGGGGTCTCCCAGCCCACTAGCCAGGGCAAGAGCTATCTTTACAGCCTGGGAGAGTAATGCATTGTTAATACTTAAGTAAAACGACATACTGTACTTTTCAAACTGTTAATGCTGACAATGGTGAAGTTTATTACCTCTGCAATCCAATGGTAGGTGTTGTTCCTGGGCACCTGGCTGGTAATGTTGTAGCCTTCCAGGATGTTTAGAGCAGTAATCAGGGCAACACCTGCATGTGGGGCCGGGGCCACCATCACATGGTGTCCTGTAGAAACACCAACAAAGCATTACATTGAAAACACTAACAGACATTTTTCATTTTAAAAGGAAACTGACAGTATATTCAATATATGTGATAATTGCTAGCAAATGGGGGGGGAAAAGGTGTGAAGAATAAGGAAAGATAATGATAAAGCCTATACAGGATCTGTGTCATGTCTGTCATATTTGCATTCCAGGTTCAACCGTTGCTTATGCCCCAATTAAAACACTCTAAAGACAAGTATATGTTAGTAAATTCCTAAATGTAATTAATGACAAGTTAAATTCAACCAAGTGGCCCAGTTTTGTTTTGCATCCACCTTGAAATTCTGGTCTCAGTAATATTGTAATGTTAATAAGGCAGTTGGCTTGCTGTACTGTAACTTTGAGGCTCATATCTTAAAATGTTTGGTGTAGTACAACAAATATTTACCTTGATAGATGACCTCTGCTGGCTGCTCTAAGACTGTGCTGTAATTTCCAAAGTCATCCTCAGTGAGCACCCCACCTCTTGCTTGCACCTATTAAAAATGCACATGTTAGTTCTAGGACAAACAGTAGAGTCGGCCGGGTCTGCTACGATCCAGCAGGTCTGATGAGGGTTAAAGGTGGTTTTGTATGGGAATATTTTATATTGAAAGGTTTTCAAATTTTTCGTCCTTTATATTTAAATATTTACTTACATGAAGGGGTCAGAGTATTACAAACACTTCTCAATATAATCCAGTTCAAAGTAATACCACCACTAACTGTAATGAGTGAGATTTGTATTTGGAAATATATATACAATGAATAAATGAATAAGAACATAT